ATATTGGATCATAAATGGTAGAGCTGTTATCAGAGATTTAGTTAGGAAATGTATAAAGTGTTGCAAAATTAGAGCATCTGTCACTAATCAATTGATGAGCGATTTGCCGTCTAGTCGCGTTTCGCCTGCTCCTGCGTTTTTGCGCTGTGGAGTGGATTACGCAGGTCCTTTTCAAATTAAAGCAAATAAGGGTCGAGGCTCTAGGTCATTCAAGGCATATATATAGCTCTATTTGTTTGTTTTACGACAAGAGCTATTCACCTAGAATTAGTGACTGATCTTTCAGCAGATGCTTTTATTGCAGCTCTTAAGAGGTTCATTTCCCGCAGAGGCAAAAGCAGTGATATATATAGCGATTGTGGTTCCAATTTTGTTGGAGCAAAACGCAAACTGATGGAATTTGAAAGGCTTGCTAGGTCTGCAACTTATAACCAAAAATGTTAGCAGATATTTGGTTGATAATGGCATTAAATGGCATCTAAACGTTCCAGGTGCGCCACATATGGGTGGACTCTGGGAAGCTGGCATAAAATCAACAAAATACCATTTAAAACGAGTAGTTGGTGAGGCGAGATTGACATATGAAGAATTTGAAACATTTCTCACACAAATAGAAGCTTGTCTTAATTCGCGACCTTTAACAAGTTTGTCTAATGATCCAAATGACTTGTCAGCATTAACGCCTGGTCATTTTCTTATTGGTAGATCATTAACAAGCATTCCTGAACCAAATTACATTGAAGTTTCCCATCTCACTAGATGGCAACATATTCAAAAAATGGTTCAACAATTTTGGAAGCGTTGGCACAAAGAATATCTGTGTCGATTACAACAAAGACCAAAATGGCTTTTGCCAACTAAAAATCTTCAAGTTAATGATCTGTGTCTCATAAAGGAGGATAACTTACCTCCAACTAAATGGAAAATGGGTAGAATTACTCAGTTACATCCTGGTCTTGATAGTGTTGTTAGGGTTGTGACTATTAAGACTTCAGATGGCATGGTTAAAAGAAATATTACAAAATTGTGTCCATTACCAATTTGAGTTTTAATTCATGTATTATAAATTAAGTATTATATCATAATTTTAATATTGTATTGTGTTTTAAATTTACTGAATTTTAACCACTAAATGTTGAAATAGTATTTCAAGGTGGGCGGCATGTTCGCGCCTTATGTAAATTTTGATTTTGTTCCCTGCAAGAGGGCGCCTGCGAGCGCCGAACTACTTGTATATCTATTGTACGAACTTGTTCTTCACACAGTCTAATAAACGCAGTAACGAACGTTTGAGTCTACTTTCCATCCGCTAACAGCTGGTATATGCTGACGAGTTCCGCTTCCAATTTTGCACGATTTCTTACAACAGGAAGGCTTTACAAGCGTCTTGTAATTTTCGTAGTTAGGGGAGTCCCGCTGATCTAAGAGGTTCTTCCTTACATTTGACCAAAAGCGCTTGCCTCAGCGCTGGTAGGAAGTGACTTTCTGGAACTCTGGACTGGATATAGCATAAATGGTCATCCAATTTTCCAAAAAACTGTCACCGGTGAGTTTCCATCAAAGGTACTGCTGGTTTCATCGATGCGCGCATGTCTGGACGATGTAACTAAATCCTTCCAGGGCGTAGTGGCATTTCTGGATTCTGAAAACCGCTAAGGCACTCTTATTCTTGAAACTAGACCATGGTTATTCTTCTTCGGGCGCTACTATCAGGACTAGTGTTTCTTTTGACTGCTTTGGAAACATGACTGGTCCTGAAATAGGAACAGGGAGCTACTCAAGCTAATGTTCAAGAATGTGTGAAGTAGACAATACAAGCAGAAGGGATACGAAACCCTTTATTTTCCATACTTTACAGGAATCCGAAACTTCGGAAACAGAGACCAACCACTTGTGTCTGAAGTAGATATAAAAATTACTAACTAAACTAACTTTGAATAGTATACAATTGTCTAACACTAAGATGTCTTATTTAAAGAAAGTACGTATGTAGTACGCCGAGCTACTAAAACTACGATAGTCTGCTATCAGAGGGCTAAACCTCTGGCCTTGAAGGCACCAGCAAAGATGAAAACTCGTAAAATACGTGGCAAGCGGTTGCTTCCAAAACTGCTTCTCTCTTGCTTGGCAAAAACCACAACTTAAGTACTGGGCGTTAGCAAGACAATTTGCATAAATAAGTTAAAACGTTTAATTCTGGCCGGAAGTAGAAAATAAGATGTGATAGTACAGTTTTAAATTAAAATAAACGTTAGTAAAACTTAGGATCCTTACACTATCACTAAAGATGTACGTGGAAGTCACGCAACACGGGATTACTTTCTAAATCATTAGTGTGATGAACTCCTATTTTAGGGAACAGGTAACTACAACAATATTTTAATGATCCAGTAAGACATTATACTTTTCAAGGCATTAAAATATTTCCATAGTATTTGAAATTTTTAAATTATTGAAAATACTCAATATAATCATTTGAAATTTTTTCGTCGTACTGAGGCTGTATCTCATCCTATTAAGGTTATATAACTGCAATCCATTTACGTTTATTACATATTTGTATAAACCATAGTGTACAGAAAATGAAGGAAGTATTAATGATGCAAAGGTGATCGTATGGTCATTTTCTAACCGTATTACATTCCAAATACTTTTGAGTATAAGCTGTCCAGAAGCTACATAATTTTGCTTTCGTTTCTTATAATTTAATATTTAAAGACATTTCAGATTGTTCCAAAATTTCTAAATTGTATTAAAATCTGAGTTCTTATTATAGCTTATAAAAAACTTAACCATATTTCTTAATTTAACACCTTCCCCCCTCTTTAAAATAGAAACATTAAAAAAAAAAGAAAAAGAAAAAACTCTTTGGCTTGCAAATATTTATAATACTTGTATTTCTTATAATAACTATATTTCTTAATTTAATACCTTTTTTCCTTTTTTTCTAAACAGAAATATTTTTAAAAAATTCTATTTGGCTTGGAATATTTTTTTAACTGTTTAGCTTTTAACATTGTTTTCTCTTCTTCATTTCTCTCTTCCTTAATTGCTTTTCTTCCAGAAAAAGAGAGAAATTATTTTGATAATTGGAGGAAAGAAAAACCGTTTTAGTACTATATTTATAGGACATTTACCTATTTGAATATTTTACTATATAAAGAAATGTTTCGTTTTGAATTAAAAGCTCTTGTAAATCAACACAATCATAGCTTTCAAATTAGTTAACGGCAACCTTAGTTTTCAAATAAGCGATTTGTTGTTCATCTGTAATATTGAAAGAATAGTTATGGGTACACAAATCAATAGATCCAAAACGTGGTTCTGGAAACTAAATTACAAAAAATATATATTTATATTTACTTATATTAGATATACAAAAACAAGCATTCTCTTTTACCATTATTTCTCCATTGAACAAATTACAATTTTATGAGCTTTTTAAGCTATAAATTTAGAGTAACCTCTTATGCTGCACAGCTTCAATATATTTAAATAATTGTATTAAGGTAAACATTGTAATTTGTTTCATTTGATGCTTAAAGTGAATCACTTGTTTTAAATATTTCTGCATTTCCTAAACGCATTTTCTGTTCTCTTAACAATTAGAGATTAAATTTAATACAGTATTACACAGTTTATTATGCAAAAGCATAACAAATTTGCATGAATTAATAATTCCAGTTCATAAAACAATCCTTGTTACCAAAATTGAATTACGGAAAATCTGTATTACTCACTTCTGAGAATATACATTATAGTATAATCCAGGGGTGGCCAAGCTCCTTGATAGTCCGAGCCATTTTTCAAAATTTGAACTTTTTCGCGAGCCGCAATTAAATACGTATTTAAAAGGTATGCAAAAAAGGTATTAACATTTTTTTACAGAAATTATATTTATTGAAAACATAAAAATAAAAGTACAAAATATGTGTATTAAATTTAAATATTAAAAATTAAACACATTTATTTTACTTCTCTTGATAATTCTTTAAAATTGTTGAATAATTGGTGACAGCACTTCTCAGTAGTTCTTTGAAGTGCTGGTTAGTTAATACTGATCGGTGTTTGGATTTACCGAATTTTAAAGTGGAATAAAATGATTCACCTAAGTACATTGTTCCGAATATTGAAATTATTCAACAAGCAGACTTTTTTAATTCAGGATATTTCGATTCTGGTACAAATTTTCCAAAATTCAGTAATCGGCGTTGACTTATACTTGTATTTTAATTGTAGAGCTTGATCTTCTTGCATCTCTATTAATTCTAATTCTTCAGATGCTTTTTGGGTCATAATTATATTGGAAATGGAAAACTCACCTTGAATTATGTTAATTTCAAATGGACTCAGAAAAAAAATCAAGAGATTTAAAATATTTCAAGTCTTGAAATCTATTTTGGAATTCCGTCAATATTCCTTCTAGTTTTTTATATACTCGTTTAGTTTTTCTTGTTTAATATTGGAACAAATATTTTTTAATTCGAGGAAAATGACAAAATGTTTTATTTTTAATGTCGTTTTGAAAAAGTTGTAGTTTAGTTTGAACACTAAATATACACTGTGAGAGGTCAGATATTATTTTATCTTTCCCTTTCAATTGTTGTTTCAATTCAGTGTTTGCAAATGTTACATGACATCAGTCAAAAACGTTAAGTCTTGTAACCACTTGTGATCGTCTAATTCTGAATAGGTTATTTACTTTTCTTTTAGAAATGCAGTTATCGGATCCAACAAATTTACAAATCGATTTAATACGTTGTAGCTGGATAACCATCTAACTGTGGAAAAGAAATTAATGTAATTTGGAAGTTCTTCGTCCTTTAATTCCTTAAGGAAATTTTTGAATTATCGATGATTTTTTGGATTGGTGCGAATGTAATTTACAATGTGTAACACTGTTTTCGTAACATCAGGATATTTTAAATATTTTGTAACGAGATGTACTCGATGAATTATGCAGTGAATCGGTATGAATCGTGGAATTTAAGAATCATCTTTTAAAAGCCCAAATAAGACCTATTTTTTTCCCCCAGCATTGCCGGAGCTCCATCAGTTGCAACGCTTACAAGTTTATTAAGAGGCACATCAAAAGTTTTCATTAGGAAATCTAATGCATTTTTAATATCGACACCGCGAATTGACTCTTGAAGTGCTACTAAACCTAATTCTTCTTTAACAACGAAGTCAGGTGAAACAAAACATATGAAAACTGCCAATTGGGAAAGATCTGTGATATCTGTCGATTCGTCAAGGGCTAAGCTGAATGTAATACGATTCTTCAAATCATTTTTTATATGATATTCAAGAGATGTATTAATTGCAGTTGTGCATCGTTCGGTTGTGTGTCTGGAGATGGGAATTTGCGAAACATCTTTGTGCAATGCTGCATTATTTGGATCTAAAACTTTAAGTATATCTTCCAAAGTTTTTTTCATAAACTCTCCCTCTCTATACGGGCGTTTTTGCACGAGGAATATTCCAGGCAATAATAAAACTAGCTTCAGCCACATTATTAGCTTGATTGCTAAAGGTCATCAAAATTGACTATTGTGTATTTAAATTTTATTCTAAAGAAGCAAGTTTATGTGATCTTAATTTGGAATTTGGTGGATACTGACTAGAAAACTGAGGATGATTGGTTTCATAATGTCGACGTAATTTGCGAGCTTTATAATATTTGACCGTAGAATTATAAATAAACACATAATGCTTTTCCGTTATTGTCAATAAAAAAGAAATTCTCCTCCCATTCATTATTAAAACTTCTATTTTCTTGCTCGTATTTTCTTTTTTTATTTTCGTTCTCTGTCATCATATTTTAAAAAGAACTGGAAATAAATAAAGAAATTTAAAACATACAAGTTTTGTGTTATTAAAACAATAACAACGCATGTTACATACTACGAAAAAAATTATAATTAACTTACCAAAAATTCCAAATTCCAAATTATATCCTTAGCAAGAGTGATACAAATTGCTTCCTCCAGAGAACAATGTCAACTGTCATTGCAATGAAAGCTTACAAATTCAGAATCGGTCTGGAGTCGGTCGATTACGTAGATCGTCATTCGTCGAGAAGCAATTGGCCCTCCCATATGTTTCTCAAAATTCACGAGGCAGTCGATGGGGATGAAAATCCGACGAATGGAGCTGTTATGCCACTGCTTATGTTCGTTCACGCAGTTTTCGATGAGTCATGTGATTCTTAACTTCGACGGAAAAAAAAAAAAAAATGTTGCAACGTTGAACTTAGTTTTTCATATTTGTTGTCAATAATTTAAAAGGCATTTTGAAACACATACGGAACGATAATAATTTTTAAAATATAGTAACCCCAAAATGAAAAGAGAACTCGAGTACATTTATCGAGAGCCACAAATAATCCTTGAAAGAGCCGCATGTGGCTCGCGAGCCGCAGGTTGGCCACCCCTGTACCTTCATAGCAATGCTTAAATAATGTTAGTAGCTCATATGGTAAACTGAATGAAACTCAGCTATTTATCAGGTAAACTTCACAAATTTCTTTATTTAATCAACACATACGAGGAAGTAAACACTTATTGTATACTGACTTGAATGATTGCAGTAATAATTAATATATAATAATTGAAGAGAAATTAAAAAATTATTATTAAGAATAAAGCGTTTATCGCTGAGTAAAATACTAGAGATACATGAACTTTATAGAAGCGAGAGAAAAATCAATGATGATTCTTTGCTAGCCATAAATTTCTACAAACATAGAATGAAATAAGAACCATGCTTTAACTTGGGCATTTTTAATTATTTTACTATGATTTTACAGAGCAAAGTTAATGATTTGGAAATTATGTTTTAAAATAAAGATGAGGTAACATGAGATACACGCATTCTTCTCGTGTTTACACATTTAAAAACAGACAGAAGAAAAAGGAAAGAAACATTGCAAACAATAAAACTTGTGTAAAATTCTGTATCTTGTTTTATTTTTTATGCACAAAGAAACAAAAGACTTTATAAAACGTTTGTCATGGATACATTACACGAATATTCTTCGAAGAACAGATTGCTTGTTGGAGATTTGTTAAGATGTTGAAATTTATGCCTATTATTATGGCAGCACGCCCACCTTGCAATGCGTTCGTTACTCGTTGCTGCTGAGGTTGATAGTTAGTCAAATATGGCGGCTCCCACCGGCGGATCAGGTATGTTGCGAAATAAGTATTATTCAACGTTTCGTTCAGCAAAGTGTTAAGTGATCTGCTAAAAAGTTAATTTGCCAGAAATTTGATTTTGTATCGCCTTCATAATACTCTTTACTGTTGACAGGGGTTCTTTGTTTATGATTTTTTATTTGATGTCAGTGTCTTACCCGAACATTGTCTTTTCTGAATTTTCCTTGATAAAAGTCTGATGAACATTTGTTTATGGTAACTTTTTCTTTCAGTTATAATGTAAAGTTTAATATTAGTCACACGCATGATTTATCTTACTTCATGCATTTTACTGTAAATACAGAATACCGAATTTCGTAGCTTAATTTACAAAATTTGCATTGCCTACTTAATTTGTTTTCTTTGAGGAAATATTTATCTAAGCCATTTAATATAAACTTGCGTTTTTATGGTAACTTTTAATTTGTCATGCAGTGTTTTTTTTTTTTTTCCTTATTCAACATGTAATTCAGCGGTCAATTTTTGACTGTATTCAGTATTGCGATTATTGATAATTTTGCGAACTACAATATAAGTTCTGTTTATGATGTGCCTTTCTGTTAGATATTTGAAATCAGCCAAATTATTTATTTATCAGGTTGATCTAAATAAATTCAACTAGTTTTTTAATATTTTACATATGAAATAGCTCACGGTATTGCCTCAGTGCATTTGTGAAATTGCAATTTATAACTGTCGTGAAGTCTTAAATTTGCTGGAGTATTCTGGTTAGTTTTAAATGCATGTAATTATTTCTGTCAGTAGTACTCATAGATCATAATTTGGTTGCAGGTTGCGTAATTGAAAGTTTTTCTTTTGCTGATTCGTATGAATGTTTACGTCTTTAAATTTTCCTGTTTCTATTTAATTTGAATGTACGTAATCCTTTTGATACTTTTAAAGTAATATGTGAGCAAAATATTACATATAGTGAGCAAAATATTACATAAGTCATATAGTGGTTATGTAACAGAATAACTAGAATGTAAAATATTCATTAGTTTGCCCAAATTGGGAGTGGGGGTGGAAAGGAATTATCTGTTGTGATAAAGAAGAAAAACTTATTTATTCCAGGCAGCAGTATTAAGAACTATTTCAAAACATTACTTTTACTCTTTTGATGTGGAAAGTTGTATGTACTTCGTTAAAGGCAGGTAGCATAGTGTATAAATAGTGCCATCAGCATTCATTGATCTCTCTAGTAGCATGTCATATTAATGTGGTATTATAATGCTCTATGATTTATGAGTTTGATGTTAATCTTAACATAATATTTTATCAAAATTGCACTAACCTTAAATCGAAAGAATAAAAAGTAAAAGTTTACAATTGGGTGTCCCTTGTTTCTTAGCGATTCTTTTTTGACGCCAAGATCGTCGCCAGGAAGGCACAATTTCAAGATGGCCGCTACACAAAACCAAAATAAGAAGTTAAAGAATTGCACAAACTTTGTGTCTGTACACATCGATCTGTTCTCACTTAAAAAAAAAAAATCCTAGAGTTGCGCACGGCCTTAAATTTGTCCATGTACACATCAATCTATTTTCATTTAAATAAAATGAGGAAACTAAAATAAAGTTAAAACTATCATGGTAGCCAGAAGTGAGGTTTCATCACCAAAATTTTAAAAAAATTGGCGCTAATCGAAGGGGCACTAAATTCTACACTAGAGCCGAATAAAATTTTAGTATGTCACATATACTGTATTGGAAGCAGTGGCATAGCTAGAGGGTTTGGTTTACCTGTTTGGCATTTTTAATCTGAAACGTACTTTATGATGGTTGGGGCAGAAAATCGCTTGTGGTTTAATGGATTACAGGAAAGTTTAGTACAGTTATCTGTCTGAGAGGGTGAGATATTTTCTTGGAAGATAAAATTTGCTGCAAAAGGGAACTAGCTGATATATATGTTATGCATATGTTAATATGACGTTACATACGAGATAAACCACATAAGGTAGCCAACCTGTTTGGGGATTAGACAACTTAGTTTTTTGTAAGAGTATAATTCAGGAGTTAATTGTTCAGTCAGAAATGGATGCTTTTACAAGTAAGATAAAAATCATTTGTCATCAGATGACAAATAGCAGTAAGTTAGAGAGATTTGCATTAAAACTATATGTAATTTTAGTAATATTTCTCAGTATAAAAACCCGAGAAAATTTCAAAATGAGGTTAGATAACATAAGATTTAATTAAATATTAATATATCTTGCATTAGAATCATAGTATAAATAGTTTAATTTCTTGAATCATGTACTATAAAGCAAATTTAAGTCAGTTTGGAGTTCTTTTGAAATGGTGCTGCTGTGCAACAAGAAAACCTCCCAGAAATTACGAATTTTTCATGCAGTAAGGTTTCCGAGATATGGAATCTGCATCTTTTTCATATATTTGTTGGAACTTTCTCTTTCAATTATATATAATTCATATGTAATTTTTTTCAACAAGAAAGATATCGTACAACTCTAATATACGCCCTAATTTCACCAAATGTGGCGATATGTAATCTGCACTGGTTTTTGGCACGATTGTGTGTCCTATGGCAACCCTGTTAATGTTGAAAAATCTTTCGCTGGAGCTCGTTGGATTCGCCTCTGTGTCTGAGAAATCCCCGGAGGGAAAGATAAAATGGTAGTTGATGAATTGAAGTCCGGCAAAAGGAAATATGATTGTGGCTATCCTGTTGAAGGGGGAGTGGGTATTTGGAACTGTGGAAAGAGGGTCTGGGAAATTATTTTTAATGGCAGTGCATGATAGAAGTAGGGATTTGTGATTTTATTTATTTGTGAACCATAGTATAAATTTTCTGAATAGTGTGTCTGGCTGTCATGTAAATACGATAGTGATTACGTGGCGGCATGTTAAAGGCGGTATGAAATTTATATTTCTGCTATTCGAAAACGCATTAATTCATGGTAAGTGCATTTTATTTTATCCTTGTTCTTATTTTGTAGAATGTTATGTTCATTGGTTCTTTAGTATGAATTTCTGTCGTTATTGTTGTTTTTTAAATTGTTGAAATTTATTTTAGTTTATTTTTGTTGTTTAGTGTCTAGACTGTAACAATTCGTAGATGTTTTTTAAAGTTGAAAAACAGAGAACGCTGTGTACATGGTATTATTTGAAATTTATTGTTATGTTATTTTATTAAAGCGAGGAGTGCGTAGATCGTAGATTCCTTCTCGCCTAAATTGTGCAATTCGTAGAATTTTTTTAAGTTTTAACAGGATGCTGTGTACATGGTATTCTTTGAAATTTATTGTTGTTATGTTAATTTTATTAAAGCGAGGTCTGCGTAGTTTGTAGATTCATTCGTTGCCTACATTGTGCAATTCGTTAGATTTTTTTTTTTAAGTTAAAACATGTCGCTGTGTACATGGATTCTTGTCAAATAGTTTTGGTTAGAAACTTTACGTTTTGCTATCTAAATTTTTTGTTTTTGTTTCGGATTTTTTAGCTAAATTGTGTATTCAAAAACTAGTTTTTTTGCATGTGCGAAAACCGCGTTGTTTTTGGAGACATTTTAGGCTAAAAGTTCAAAATGTAGACAAAAAATTTAGATAGTAATATGGCAGCGTGAAGTTTCTTGCCAAAAATATTTGGCGAGAAATTTGGCGACTTGAGGGCGCATATCAGAGTAGTTCCAAAGATATTTTCTTGCTTTTCATTTATTTTAGCTGTCTGAAATATATTGTAGTTGTTGCTGAAAACATTGCTGTTCTTTAATTTTGGAAAACAGGTTACTTCTAAACTTTTTTTTTGACTTATGCTTTTCAGACTTAATGGTAGAAATCAGGAACTCTATTCCTCTTTATTATTTTATCATGAATGATTTCTGTGGTGAAATTAACATTTAATCATTTCTGAAATTAAAACGGTTAGCTGTATAATAAAAATCATGGCAATAGGCTTAACTTAACTTGTACTAGAAAGATTGAGAACAACTAAATTTAACCTAATCCACCAGCATTCAAGGGAGTAATATTCATTACGCTTTTAAAATTTGAATTTTTCCATCGTATTTTCAACGGTAAGTGCATATTGTTTGTATGCGTTTTCTGAGTTCATTAAGTCTGTTTTCGAAGATATTTAAATCGTTTTTCCTGTTTCATCGGTAGCAACGAGATATTTTCATCTGACAGCTATCTTCTAATATCTACATCAATAATATATTTTAATTTTTCTTAGATTTAGGAATTGTTTTCCTGAAGTAATCAAAATATTCTGCATTGAACACATTGACTGCCATGACACTTTTCGGATTCCGGTTCGAGAAGCCAAATTGATTTAATCATATGTTATTAATTTTTATAATTATATTTTTTGTTTGTTTTTTTAATAAATTTTCTGTTCATGCAAGCCAGCATTGATTTTCTTCTTCTTTTCCCAGAAGCCATCTATCGATATTACCACTGATATATTCTGAGTTTAATTGTAGCTGTACAAAAATGGCAAGTAAACACAGTACAAGATAACTCGTAGTTGGCAGTCAACATGTTAAATGATGGTTTAACGAACAAGTTCATGAAATTCAGTTTCACATGAATTAATTGCAGGAGTACTTAAGGTTGAGATCATGTAAACTATTTTTATCTTAAAATTTTAGTTTTCCCTCTTCTCACCTGGTACTGATCTTAATCTGTTATGTTTAGAGAGGATTTTTAGAAGTTTAGAGTGGAACCAAAAAAGTATACTATTGTTATTTAAAAAGCAAACCCAAAACTTGATCTTCATTATATTATAGGTTTGTAAGGATTAGTGGTAACAGTTCCATTTTATATTGTAAGATCTTTTAAACATAGAAGCATTCATCTTGGTCCTGTGCATGTTTAATGGTTAAACATTCAATTAAATTTGAATAATTGTAGATATTTTTTAATAAAAAATATAATACACAGATTCTGCATCTGAAATAAATATGTTTGGATAACTTCATAGTTGTCCTTAAGATTGTTGCATCTTTGTTCAGGTTGGCCCATGTTTGCCAGTACACAGACTTACATGGCAGTGTCTCAACATAAAAAGACTAATAAAGGTGTTGACATCTTTATATAAAGATCAGTTTTAATTTTAAAATTATTAACCCCATAAAAGTACTGCTGCTACAATACCAAGACATCATTATGCTAATAAGGTTGTAGTTTGCTACTTAGATTAATCTTTCTTTCTGTTAACAAAATCTTCATTATTGCATTTTTATTGCACATTGTGTCCTGGAACAATAATAACCAGAAGTGGATCCTGTTTTTCTATCAGTTGCTTTTATAAATGACATTTTTCACAAAATTACAAAGAACAGAAGTTGATTTTTTAAAATAGTAGTATGTTACATTTCTTAACAAATTGCTTATCTTCTTATACCCAAGTAACACTTATAATTTTCTTTGCATATTGTTCCTGAATTTATGTATCAAAATTTTGGTTTAAAAACTAGACTTGTAATGAATTGATGAAAATACTGGTGTCATTATCCAGTAGAACTTATGATTATTTAATAAAAATGAGATGATAATCTGCACTGTGTTTTTATTCGATAATGGAGCTAAGTTTTGTAAACTGAAATAATTTATCAGCTTGAGCTACAATGTCTTTTGTCATTGAAATGTTAAATAATTAAAATTTACTTCAGTACTATAACCTCTTCAAAAGAGGTACAGTATACTGTGTATAATGTCATGGAACTACTCTGATATGCGCCCTCAAGTCGCCAAATTTCTCGCCAAATATTTTTGGCGAGAAACTTCACGCTGCCATATTACTATCTAAATTTTTTGTTTACATTTTGAACTTTTAGCCTAAAATGTCTCCAAAAACGCGGTTTTCGCACATGCAAAAACTACGTTTTGAACACACAATTTAGCTAAAAATCCGAAACAAGAACAAAAATTTAGATAGCAAAACGTAAGTTTCTAACCAAAAACTATTTGACAAGAACCCATGTACACAGCGACATGTTTTAACTATCTACGAATTGCACAATGTAGGCAACGAACGAAAATCTACAAACTACGCACACCTCGCTTTAATAAATTAACATAACAATAAATTTCAAAGAATATCATGTACACAGCATCCTTGTTTAAAAAAACTTTAAAAAATTCTACGAATTGCACAATTTAGGCAAGGAAGGAATTACGATCTACGCACTCCTCGCTTTTAATAAAATAACATAACAACAATAAATTTCAAATATACCATGTACACAGCGTTCTGTTTCAACTTTAAAAAACATCTACGAATTTGTACAGTCTAGACACTAAACAACAAAAATAAATAAAATAAATTCAAACAATTAAAAAACAACAATAACGACAGAAATTCATACTAAAGAACCAATGAACATAACATTCTACAAAATAAGAACAAAGGATAAAATAAAATGACTTACCATGAATTAATGCTTTTTCGAGCAGCAGAAATACCAATTTCATACCGCCTTTAACACCGCCACGTAATCACTATCGTATTTACATGACAGTTAGACACACTCCAGAAAATTCATACTATGGTTCACAAACAAAAAAAATCACAAATCCCTACTTCTGTCATGCATAGCCATTAAAAATAATCTCCCAGACCCCTCTTTCCACACCTCCAAATACCCGCTACCCCTCAACAGGAGGGCCACAATCATATTTCCTTTTGCCGAACTTCAATTCATCAACTACCATTTTATCTTTCCCTTCCATCTTCTCAGACACAGAGGCGAACCAATGAGCCCCAGCGAAAGATTTTTCAACATCAATAGGGTTGCTGTAGAACACACAATCGTGCCAAAAACCAGCGCAGAACACATATCGGCACATTTGGTGAAATTAGGGCGTATATTAGAGTTGTACCAATGTCATTTATGTATTGGCATTTGCTATTTATTGTGGTCAAATTTTTGCTTATATTTGCTAAGATTGCCATATTTGATTTTGTGGTCAGATTTAACTCGAGAGGCATGACTCCTTTTATCTATTCAATAGTTGTATAATCACTTAATTTCTATTAGTTTATAGGTTTTGTTTTCTTAACTTTGTTTAACAATCTAAATATGATCCTAATGAATAGAGGAAAACAAAGAATAAATTACGTAATTATGCAGAGTGATAATTTTCTGTTAAAACTACGTCACTTTGTCTATTTTATATTGTGGCGTTTTTCTTGGGTGAAAGGTGTTGCAAATAGGGTTTGACTTTTTCTGTTGATGATTATCTTCATAATCCACATGCACATGACTGTATTTTTAGTTTGTCTAATTGTGGTTTTTTATTTATTTATATGTCTAATTGTTGTTTTTTATTTATTTTTATTTTCACTTTGTCTATTTTATATTGTGGCGTTTTTCTTGGGTGAAAGGTGTTGCAAATAGGGTTTGACTTTTTCTGTTGATGATTATCTTCATAATCCACATGCACATGACTGTATTTTTAGTTTGTCTAATTGTGGTTTTTTATTTATTTATTGCAACAAATTCCATGACTTGAGATTTGCTAAGAGATGAAGAAAAGGTTGTTCTGTTTCTTTAAGAAAGAAGTGTTCTTCGCAAAGATAGGTTGTATTAGAATAAACTCCTTATGACATTAAAATATGACCTGAAGCTGGAATGGCTATATAGCGTTTGCTCGTATCAGGGAAAAAAAATGGGTGTCTGATCACGAACATTGTTTATTGGACCATGTGTACCTTTTATTATTACTGTGTGATTCATTAACATATGGTATCAAGATCTTATGTCTACTGAATCTTGCAAAGCGAAGTTTGCTTTTAGTACAGCTGTCTGTAACTATCACAAGGAGATAAACTTACAATCATTTTCTAATAAATTCATACGTAGTCCATTTTCTTAAAATTTGTTAGATGTGTTGAATCTTATTTATTTGAATCCAAAAGTATAATGCTGTTGTGACTTTATTTATTGTCTATCTTTATTAATGATGCATAGGTTACAGTTAATTTTCTAATTAAATATTTGTTACTAGTAAGGAATATCTGGGTGAGGTTTTCTAACTTAAAAAAAATTTTTTTTTTTGTTCTAGGTGTAGTGGTTCCTCGTAATTTCCGTCTCCTGGAAGAACTTGAACAAGGACAGAAAGGGGTTGGTGATGGTACTATAAGTTGGGGTTTAGAAGATGACAGTGATATGACTTTAACACAGTGGACAGGCATGATTATTGGGCCACCAAGAGTAAGTATCATAGTTCCAAATACAGTATAAAGTCTGTAATCTGGACTTGTCGAGACTTCTGCGATTCCGGATTATAGATCATCAATTTAAATCTGGTAAGAAAGCATGCAAAATTGTACAATTAAAAATATGAAACTGTAATTTATGAAATAAAAAGCATTATGATCTTAGGGTATCAAAATTTCAAAAAAAAAAAAAGCTTAAATATTTTTTTGTTTTCCCTTGTTGACTTTGGATTATGGTAACTTTGGCGATTTTTGGCGAAATTTGGCTACCAACTCTGCTACCCACACTATATTTTTTTTTTTTTTTTTTTTTTTTTTTTTTTTTTTTTTTTTTCGCCGCCATTTTGTCTTCACGAAGTAAGACATGTTCTTTTCTTTTTATTTACTACACGTTTTTTTCCCAACTCTACTGCCGATTACACTTTAACTAGAAATTTATGTAAAAAACTGCTAAATCATACAAATTTACTGCAAATTGGGAAAAGTGCACAATCGCAACTCCTTCTGCGTTTTCACATACACATACACATAAAACCATTTACACGTTGACTTATTTTAAAAAAAAACACATCCCAGAATTGCGCAAAAAGGCTGCACACACTCTTAACTTTATCCATCTACACTGCTATTTTCTCCATAAATTAAAAAATTTGCACGAAATGCAAAAAATCTGTATGTTTAAAAACTCTAAAAAAGCACATATATGAATTTACCTGAATCGGAATAGTAATATACCCTTTTCCAAGGATTAACATTTCTATGTATAAAATAAGTAAATCCAAAAACTTTTACCTCTAAAATCTATTATATTATAAACGTCACCAACGAATTCATCCTCAAACATAAAATGGTTACAAATACTAGTGTCAAATATTTAAATTATTTCCATGCATGTTTTACTTCACTGAAACTATACCAAATTCCTACAAACATAAATTCACAAAATAACTATAATTAAAAATTAAAATATCACTAACCCATGTACACGGACTTTTTTTTTTACTTAAAAAATATCCCAGAATTGCACAAAAATGGCATGCGCCACACTCTTCACTATATCCTGTACACTGCTTTTTTTCTATAAATTAGAAAAATTTTCCGAAAATACATGACAATTTTGTGAATCTTTAAACCCGTAAAAAGAACATATAAATTACCTGATCGCGAAAAAGTATTTACCCTTTTCCAAATATAAATTTCCAAATATAATAATTAAATATCCAAAACTTTACCTCTAAATTATTATTATAAACGTCACCACGCATTCATACGCAAACATTTACAAATACTTAGTGTCAATATTAAATTATTTCCTCATTTACTTCAACAAAAAATGTTAACCAAATTCTAACAAACAAAATCACAAATAACTATCATTTTTAAAATAATTAATTAAAAAAAACATACTTAAATATAAATAGCACATACATTAAATAATAAAATTACTTTACAATCTAATTAACTTTAACTAAATCTTGCTAATACAATTTCAATAATACATATTACTTTTTACTCCTTACATTTAGAACATGCATAAAAATACCTCAATAATTAAAATACAACTTACCTAATCTTCTTCAGAATCTTGTTACTGGCCGATAAACTTTCTTATTTCCTCCTCCGCTAATAAAAGCAGTGTATGTGGCCCTGTTTCAAATGTTTTAAAATCATACTTATAGTTCCAGCAAGGTACAGGTAAAGAATAACTTAATAAAACATCTTTACCTTCTCTCCCTCGCATAACTTTTAAAAAAACCTTATTAGTACCCCTTTCGTCCCACTAAATACCCATTTCAAATCACTTTATTTAGGGCCATGGATCCCAATTACCAACACTGTTCAACCAACACAGAATAAAGCTAAATACAAAATTCCAATTTTTCCCCCTCCCCCCTCCCCCTTTTTCCGATAAGACTGATTCGTCCATTAATGTCCATACATCCTCATGATCTCTCATTCCTACACAAAATATGTGTATCGAACTGAGTACTTCTCACTCATACCAAAAGCCTAGGTCGTAACCTTCCTAGCCTACAAAAGTCTCCAACTACCAGTTACCGTATCCAAAGATCACTTTTTTTCTTTATTAAAACTTTCATGTAAGTTGTTTAGAGTTTGCTTTGTTTTTTGTGCTAATACTTTCTCTTTAATTCTTTCTTTTTTATAAGCAGACTATTTCCTTGTTCAGTTCTACTTTTCAATCTGTAATTGCTCTGTCGAGATACCGACTAACTTGTCATCGAAATGTTTTGTTTTTTTTTTCCTTTTCACTTCTTCACTTTGGAAACGCCTTGGTAAATGCTTTACTGGCTTTACACGCAAGCGTAGCGGACGTGCATGGGTAAGTTTGTGCCTTTGAGGTCCGGATTATAGATCATTCCGGATTACGGACTTTGTATTGTAATATGTAAATTGTTACAATGTACCTTTTATAGTACTGTTTTGTCAAACTTCAAGAAATTCATATATGTGTTTCTTTTATAAAATTTACATGTTATCATAAGGTGGTTTAAGTACCTTTAAATATTGTTATAAAGTGCAAATTAGCAAATGGAAACTCATTTTTTAATTGGATTTTAAATCTAAGATCTCAGCCTCATTTTTTAAAATCTTATTTCAACTTATAAATGAACAAGAGGAGATCAGAAAATCTTTTGAAATCATTTTCCATTTCCAAAATATGCTCTTCCTCATTCATATGCACAGGGGTGTTTGTGCTCTGGGGAGACCCGGAATTCCGGGGATTTTGAACTTCGATACTCGGAAATTCCGGGGATCGTCATTCAAAAGGAAGTAGGAATAATAATGAATTATTTATTTTGATCTCGGTAATTTTGTTTGCTTTGAAAGCAGAAAATGCAAGGTCAGTGTGTGTGGTGAAAACTTTTCCTTTCTTTCTCCAAAGGCAGTGATAATACGTGAAAATTTTGTTTGTCTTATTTCCTGTCATCTTTTTCTAATTTCATGAAAATTAATTATTCCGAGTTCAAGAAAAGATTGCATGAATAATTTCAGTTCTCTTTGATTCTTATCAACTTTTTCCTCCTATTTCTTAGATTTTCATGGTAAATGAAATCATCATTTACAACGGAGAGGCATTCTGCAATAGAAATTTTGGGTTTTTTTTCCCTTGATAAGAAAGATTTTACCAACTGAAATTGCCGAAATTTTCAGCATTCTAAAAAGTAACTTATTTTTAGCTTTGAAAATAGATGCAATAAAAAATATGAAATAAAAAGATGTAACATGTTGTAGAATAAGGAGCAGAAAATTAAAATTTCCTGTGTTCAAAAAACTTAAAGCACACAAAAAAATAAGTGTAGATGGTATTTTAATGTACATTTTATACTGATTAATATGTAATATGAAATAATCATATTAATCTAATGTCAGTAGAATGAATAATACATACTAAATATTTGTGTGCTAACTTTGATTTTTTAGTTGATGGAGATGAAATAATTTGATATTATAAACTCCTGCTTTATAGTAAATTTTGATTTGTAAATTATTAAAAAAACAGCTTAACCACTTGTGCTAAAAGATGTGCCACGCATGTCAAGATGCTTTTGTCTCAAACCGTGAGCGACGTGAACACCATGTTGATAGGCATTTATTGCAAAAATGAAAATAACGTGGTGCACACATCGCCTAACAACGAGATTATTTATTTCTCGAGTTACAGCTGTAGAGTGCACGGCATCACATAGTAATAGATTTATATTATTTTTTATCATATCACCCCATATTGTAAAATGGAGAATAATACTGAACTCAGTGATATAGTTTTGACAAGTGCAAGGAGAAAGCGATTAGTTAGTACATTCGATACTGATACAGGTAGCAACTGCGAGCAAATTATTTGTCCTGTTGGGAAACGGCGTGGAAGTATAGTATATTGTAGCGCACGGCACCACAATCGTGAAGTTTAGTCGTAGCACAAGTGGTTAATGTAAAAATGTTTACTTACAAAAGTTATTAATTAATAAAAAGTACTCATACCGTTTGTAGTTTGTTTTTATGCAGAATTGTAGATAAAACAGAGACCTGATGTTTTTAATTTTGATTTCAGTTTATAAATTTAAAAATGTAATAAATTTCCAATTAAATTAATAAAGTCATCTATTCCACAAAAAAAAAAAAAAAAGTTGCCTTTTTAGACAGAGCTGTGGAGATGGAATCGGATTTAGGCAGATTTTGGGATAAAAGGAGTTGGAATCAGAGTTAGGCAGATTTTGGTGTAAAAGGAGTCGGAGCTGGAGTCACTAGAACGGTGTCGACTCCAACTCCAGTTTTTGTTGGACAGTTTGAATTTGAAATGAAGTTCAAGTGAATTGAAAAAAATAATGATGAAAAATTGAGTTATAATTTTTATTTATGAACTATATACATTAATAATAGTTTTATTTTTCCTCTTTTTATTGACATTTAATAATAAATATAAGGGAGGAGGATGGATGTGATATTTTCCGTTATTGATTAAACTGATGCATTTAGATACAAATCTCATTAGTAAAAGAACTTTTTAAGAAGATAAAGATAATCCTAGTGTTTTACTAACAGAAACACTGTGGAATGATCTTGCAGAATTAGAAACTCTTCTTTCTACACCGTATACAGCCACAAAAAAGCTACAATCTGAAGAATTAACAGGAGGCAAGAATGTGATGCTTGTGCTTTCTGAAATGGAGGGTTTACTGCAGAATGATTCATTTCTTCAATGAAAAAAAAGAGAAACTAGATTGTTAGACAATGAAATCTTGCTGGGTTAAATATATGTAAATCCAAAACACTGAATTTTATTGGATGACAAACAAATTAAAAGGCAAAGAAAGCCATCTATGAACATTCATTAAGAAAGAAATTATTCTCAGAACAATTGGAGTATTCAAATCAGGACAGTCAAACCAGAGACATAGCAACCGAGTTTCTATCATCCTCTTTCAGTGATGAATTGGATTTTGTGAAATATTTGGATAATATTGAAAAGGTTAAAGTAAAGCGAATGAGAATAAAGCACCAAGAGCCTTTAGATATGAAAATGAAAAAATACAAATAAGATTTCTACACCATCTTTGAAGAAATACAGAAATATGATTGCTCTTGCAAGTCACCTCTAATAAGAACTTATCAAAATATATCCTGAAAAGTTAAAAGAAGTAGCCCTAACAGCAACAGCTCTTCCGTCTACTCAAGTCGGTGTGGAAAGACTTTCTGAGCTCTCAAATTTATCAAATCGGATCTACGGTCCTTTAACAAAGATCTTGCCGAAGCTATGCTGTTTCTTAAAAATTACTGATGCCAGTTTTTCCATTACAAAATAAATTCTAATTAATATAATTAATTTGCTATGCCGTCAATTTCCCCCCTGTAGCATCTATTAATTCTTTATTAAAAAATAAGCTGTAGCCAATGTGTATATGTTTACATATATATGAGGGAGTCGAAGTGGGAGTCAAGAGTCGGAGTCTTTACAAGTGCAGGAGTCTGAATATGAGATGGAGTCACTCATTTTCCCTGCTGACTCCACAGCCCTGTTTTTAGAAAAATAGCATTACATTTCTGATTATGTCATGTGGAATAAATATTGAATATTTCAAAAAACACTTCTTTTCACACATTTTGAAAAGTCATCATAAAAGTTCATGCACGTATTAGAAAAGACACAAGAGGAAAAAATATGTATATTGTGTATGCACTCCGGTGATATATGCTTATTAATGTTTAAACAGTGTTTTTACTGAAAAAATTGTGCATAGTGAAGTTTTTGATTAATTTCATGGCTTGATTTATTTTGTCAACTTTTCTACTCTTTGTTGTATAGAGTAGAATAAAACTAAATAATTCATTGCCTGTGTTTAATCTTTCTTATTTATTATTGAATTTTGTTAATTTATTATTTGAATTCATTATTGAATTATCACACAAAATATTATTATCATTAATTATATGATGATAATATTTTGTGTGATATAATAATATAACTTATTATCACAAAATGTATCTGCAACTTTAAAGTTTGATTTATTTTCTGCTTTTTAGCTCACCCATAATCATAGCTATTCAATTCATATTGTGTTCGCTTATTGGAATCGTTAGAGAATTGGAGGTGTACTAATTTATTAGAAACATTGAATAGTTTTCTAAATATAGTTGTGCTTTCAGTTCCACAACCAAGGTTTGTACAGTTCTTAGGTGTTTTGGAAACGATTTTTGGTCCTTAATCTCAGCTAAAATGAGTTCTGAATCGTATTCATCTGACACTTCTGTCTGTTTTTAGGACTGCCATTTTGAGTGTCAATTAACATTTTGGAAGAATACTTTTTAAATTGTTGACAAATAGGTATTGATGGGTTATCATTTGAATTCTTTCTTACTTAATGGAGCACAGGGTCCTGCTTCAATTGAAGCAATAACATTTCAAAATTATTTCTTTTTTGGGAATGAAAATTTCATAAAATATTACATCAAAACCATACTTTCTCTTTTTGAGGTATAATTTCTTTTATTATGTGGTACTAAATTTGGCAGTTTATCAACATTTTATCTTACTATACAAAATTTGTTATCCAGATGTTTGCGAATTTTCGATGATTTCTTTTACATAATAAAATTGATAAATAGCATTAAAATAAAACTTTTTTATTTTTCTATGTCATATTTTAATGCTATTTATCAAATAATGTCATATTTTAAAATGACGTTTCTATCTATTTTGGCAACAGGAATATTTTGATTCTGAAAAATAAATAAGATAATAAATGCTGTGAAACGCAGTTTCCGAAGCACTTCTTCCCCCCCCCCAAACCGTCCACAGACATTGGTCACTACTAAGGTATAGAGTTGACAGGAATAGTTTTTTGACCTTCCACATTTTGAGGATTAAAAGAATATGACGAAACGAGGTATAAAAGGAAAAAAATCAACTTTAAACTAATTGTTAATAAAACTCAAATATCTGTTGTAATCTTTAAAATATATGGGACTATTATAAGTGTAAATTTAATTGTTAGTAAAACTTAAATGTCACTGATCTTCTTTAAAATATATGGGATTGTTATAGGTGTAAAATATAAGTAATATAAGTGTAAATTTTGATCATTTTATTATGGAGGCACCTAATAGGTGGGCCACCTTTAGCGTCACAATTGGCTTCCCTAACCACTGTACCATCTGGGCAGCCCGAAGCACTCCTCAGCAAAAGCAAAAAAGCTGGTTTAGTTATTTTAAAATTTTCTTTTATTTATTTATTTTTTTTCTCATGTAGTTTTAAAACATTTGAATGCATGTCTGCTGTTATTTAAACATTCGCTTTACACTTTTCTACTCTGAAATTTTTATTCAAAATTTTTCTGGCTTTTTGCTGATATAGAGTTGGCAGGAATAATTTTTTGACCTTGCACATTTTGAGGATTAGAAGAATCTGAAAGCAAAATTTATAGACCTCTGCTTCCAGAACATGTGACAAAATGAAAGATCTTTTCATGGTACTATTAACATGCAATGAATGTGTGTTATGGGAAATTTGCGATGAATTTCTTGTTTTATGGGACATTTTTTTGGAAAAACTATGAAAATAAAATTGAGTTTTTTTTTTTTTTCTCTTGATCTAGTATCCTTTAGTAGTCTTCCTCTTAACAGTTTCTTCTCCCACTTATATTCTCATCTGTTTACTAGACACAAGCATGAAATATTGCAAAAATATTTCTGATCTTGTACGAGCATAGAATGGAATTTTTCTAATAATAAAGAATTTGAAAACTGACAATTTAGAAGAATCTTCTCGTATGTCACACACTGCACTCACTGTACATGTGCAGTTTTGCCACCTGGTGCAATCTTCTATAAATCCTAAATTCCAAAAACTTTGCCATCCCTAGGTGTTCATGTCCATTCTGATCAGCATCTCTCTCTTTCTTAGCAAACAGCAGTGGTAGCAAAAGCAAAAAACAACTGCCAAGCTTCTGTTACAAATCATGCTAGTTATGATTTTACTTCTCATTTTAACCTATGCTGCTTGACAAAAAATTTGCATACATCTCTGGGCAAGCAAGTATATGACGAAACGAGGTATAAAAGAAAAAAAAATCAACTTTAAACTAATTGTTAATGAAACTCAAATATCTGTTGTAATCTTTAAAATATATGGGACTATTATAATTGTATATTTAATTGTTAGTAAAACTTAAATGTCACTGATCTTCTTTAAAATATATGGGATTGTTATAGGTGTAAAATATAAGTAATATAAGTATAAATTTTGGAGGATTTTTATAATTTAATGCTAATTACTTGATAAATTTTATGTTCTTTTTTTTTATTCTTCTTATAAAAGTGAATTTCAGGTGTAGATAATTACTATAGTTTATTCAATTGCCTTTGCTGATTCATTTTTAAAAGTGCTTAATTTCAAATATACACATGTTACAAGAAATTTTTATATTGGACTGAATTTGAGGGACTGTTCCTAACTGGCATCGATCATTTTTAAAGTTTTTTTTAAATATTTAATTTTTTTTTTATGTTCATGTAGTGAATTATTTATTTCTTGCAAACTCAAATGTATGTCACGCTTTTCATTTTATTAGACACCATATGAAAACAGGATTTACAGTTTGAAAGTAGAATGTGGACTTCAATATCCTGATGAACCTCCAAATGTTAGGTTTATATCAAAGATAAAGATGACAGGTGTTAGTGAAAGCTCTGGAATTGTAAGTATTAGGTGTTAATATCTTTTTTAATTTATTAAACATATAAATGAAAAATAATGTATGGTTGCGTGCATACGGGTTCGTTATGAAATGAATGCACAAGTCCGATGAAAAATGAAAAAAAATTTATTATTATCACAACAAAAATGCTTAAATTTTCTCAAATTATCATGCAGTATTACAATATCTCACAGTAGTTTTTTCTTTTAACTACTCAAATGTCCAATAGAACGTAATTCAAACAGCTAAAAACGCTAATCCGCGAATTCGCTACAATCAACAAGAGCAGTTTTCTAAACAACAACAAACTAAGCAACTACGAACTGAGATGTTTTTCCTCCTTTTATAAGATTTTAAAATCACACGCGCTAGAATTTTCCAGTACTTTTTCTCGAAATCAAAAAGCGATATTTATTTATTTAATGCACGCGCTCTTGTATTTTCAATTTTCCGGCTTAGCTTTCTTTAATATTCGTCACGCGCTGCACTGCGCGAGAAAATAAAACCATTTAATTTATAATTGAAATAACATTAGCTTTTTAAATACCAAATTCGTAACACTGCCCCCTTCCCAAGGACTGCACGTCCCGGGCAGTACATCCCTGGACAGGAAGCTAAACTTACAACTGTGGCATAAATGCAACTGAGGCATAAACATTACATTACAATATCAAACAACATGAACAATAAATGCAATAACTAACTTAAACAAATCAAATGCTATCAAATACATATCAAATACTAAATACAAATCAAATCAAATACACATTTAAAAACAAAAAGGACCATGATCTCAAACTATTTACAATTATTTACATTACGTACTATGGCCATAGTAATGAGCTAACCTGTCGTAATGACCAACTTTAGGTTTAGAGTTCGAAGGCTTACGGAGACATCATTCAGTCTGTTCCGCACTGTACATGGACCATCCGAAGGTGACTGCAGTTTAGGACTGAGTCCTTTTCGTTGAATCGGGTTCCACAACCTCACCTTGTCTCCTTTGTTGGATCTATGTCCAGTAGCTCTCGTGTTGTATCTGGTCTTCACTTTCTCCGTCGCCAAGTCCACTCGCTTTCGTGCGAAACGGAGCATCACTTCAAAACGGGCCTGGACATCTTGGATGTGTTCCTCAGGCGATGAAGACGCATCTGTACGGCGGTCACAAGGCAGACGAAGGTCTCGACCGAAGAGCATCTGGGCTGGAAATGAGCTGGTAGTCTTGCGTTTCTTTTCGACCCTAGTATGATTTCGGCAGCTTCCCGAGCTGGATCTTTCGGACAAGGCGTCGGCATTTCCAGGTGAGGATCCTATTTAAGGATGAATAGTCATGCCATCAGATGCTGAAAGCAGTTTGTTGTTTTTCAAGTCTAAGGAAAAATTGTATTTCCTTAAAAAGTAGAATCCAAGTATGCATGGATCTGTGATATCCACCACATATGCCATGTGTAGGCGGCACTTCCAAACGTGATGCTTACATTTAACTTCCCAGTTATGTCGATCTTATCACCAGACGCAGTCTGAAGAGTAACACAGGATGGCGTCCAAATAAGTTTATCTTTAAACTGTTCAGCTAAATCTTTCCTAATGATGGTAATATTAGCTCCTGTGTCAATGATCATATTGCAAGGAACTCCATCGATATTCCCATTAATGGACAGTCCGTTACTGTTGCCACTCACTGTATAAATTTTAATAGCGCTTTAAAACAAGGTTTTTCATTATCTGGCAACCTCCGTTCCTCGATATGGTCACTATTTGTTTACTTACTGCGTCATTGCTTGCTGGGAATGGTCTTATTTTCCGTACCTCGGGGTGTTTTGCAGTTTCTTCTTTGTATGTGGCCTTCAACTCCGCAGTTCCAACACTTTAGAATACTGTTTCTTTTCACTTCTGTTCCATCTCAAGCCACTGACTTGTCTGGTAAAAATCATCTGCTTATATTCCGTACCCTGGGGTGTTCTGCAATTCCGTCTTAGGTGACCTTCACTACCACATCTCCAACACTTAGAGCCACTTTCTTCTCGCTCCTACTCCGTATCAAAGCATCGATTGTCTGGCTAAATCATCTAAACGAGCCATCAGTTGATCCACTGGCTCATGGACTCGCACAGCTCTAACTTGGTAGCGATCTCTACTAGTTGCTTGCTGGGCTGCCTCGAACTTCATGGCGTACACAGAGCGCTTTTTATGTCCTTTACATCTGCCATTCGAAGAGCTTTCTGTATTTCAGGATCCCGGATGCCATCGATGAAATATTGCAGCGACAGGATTTCCCTCGTTTCTCTGTCGGGCACTCCGAAAAGGCGTGATGGACAGCCTTTCAACATCCGTGGCGAGTTCCTGGAGTGATTCGGTGGGCTTCTGTTGACGGGATTTTAATTGGAGCCTGCTGTAGTCTTTTAAACACTTCCCCAAAGCGCAACTCCAAGGCGCCGGACAGAGCTTCGAAATCTAACCTTTTGTTTTCGGGAAGAGTCTGAAGGATATCCGCTGTGTCGGCTCTTAGAGAAGCGGCGAGATGACAGGCCTTAGCTTGGGAATCCCATCCATTCGCATCCGCCACGATAGAAAATTGTGTCTTATACACCTGCCAGATGTCTTCCCATCATATGTGGATAGCTTCAGGGATGGACGAGCAGGCATCGGTAAGAATTTAAAATCATCACTCTTGCTCCCTGCCCGTCGCTACAAATTTCTTTAAGTTTCCATTTCTTTGGCAACTGCAGAAACTCTCTCATCAATTTGTTGTTCGATTTGATATTGGACGGCACAAACTCTTCCTTCAATTCGTTCCTCCACAGCAGAAACTCTCCCTTCTATATGTTCTTTTACAGAAGAAACTCTTTCTTCTATTTCTTCTTTTTCACCGAAAAACTTTCTTCTTCAATTTGATCTTTTACGAAAGAAACTTTTTCTTCATTTGTCCAACTTTATTTTCAACGCGTCAATTCTGCCTTCCATAGCTTCAAATTTATTTCTATTATGCAGGTAATTTCTCTTTTCATTCTTCTTGACCAGCTTTTGAAACGCTTTCATTTCGTCCTTAACGGATTCCTGGCCCATTTCATTTCTTCCTTAACAGATTGACCCCCCTTCCATTTTTCCTTTCCTTGGCAGATTTCTTTCTTTCTTTCTTTAAACGAGGCAAAGGCTATATCAACTGCCTTAATTGCTTCTTCCATCGCTCTTGTTATTGGCATTCAAATCCCACTTCTGACACCAAAAATTGTTGCGTGCGTACGGGTTCGTTATGAAATGAATGCACAAGTCCGATGAAAAATGAACAAAAATTTATTATTATCACACACAACAAAATGCTTAAATTTTCTCAAATTATCATGCAGTATTACAATATCTCACAGTAGTTATCTTTTAACTACTCAAATGTCCAATAGAACGTAATTCAAAACAGCTAAAGAACGCTAATCCGCGAATTCGCTACAATCAACAAGAGCAGTTTTTCTAAACAACAACAAACTAAGCAACTACTACAAACTGAGATGTTTTCCTCCTTTTATAGATTTTAAAATCACGCACGCGCTAGAATTTTTTCCAGTACTTTCTCGAAATCAAAAAGAGATATTTATTTATTTAATGCACGCGCTCTTGTATTTTCAATTTTCCGGCTTAGCTTTCTTTTAATATTCGTCACGCGCTGCACTGCACGAGAAATAAAACCATTTAATTTATAATTGAACTAACATTAGCTTTTTAAATACCAAATTCGTAGCAGTATTGTAAAATGTATATAATATTTAAGACAGGCTTACTTTAATGTACATAATATGTGAATATCTTTTACTATAAATACTAAATATAATTAAAATTTGTTATACCCAGTGCAAAAAAAAAAGGGGTTGCAGTTCTGTATCTCACGCTCTACTGGGCCGATTGACAAAATTCAAATTACATTTTTCATGTCTTGAAAGCGCGACTTAGGATATATATTAGATTTATATACAGTGGTGGCCAAAATTGTGGACACTTTTGGAAATTTTTATGTTTTTGAACTTTGTATGCTTATAGAAATGTTACGTTTCGCAAAATCAAACTTGTATATATCATTTTACAGAGATTATTACTGAATTCAATACAAAACACAAAATTAATTATTTGCAAACAAAAAGTTATATGTCGTTAATATAAATAAAAAACACAGTTATGAGTGGTTGTTATGTCTAGCTTTCCTGGCCATCACTGTTCTTGTTCTGAGACCAATCAAACGTTAGTAACTGCCAGTAGAAGCTGACATCATGTTACACTTGAAACAATTCATTATTTTGCTTGTTCTGTAAAGAAGGACCTGTTTCTTATACACTGCAATTATAAGTAGGAATTTTTGTAAAAATTTTTAATATTTAGTCAAGAAGCAATGACATCAAATAAAAGAGTAGATTGGACACCTAGAAAGAGATGTATTATTATTGTGTTACAAGAAAGTGGTCTGTCTATGCTGAAATTGCAAGACAGGTGGGTGGTTCAGTGACTACATCTGGAGTCCGAAAGTTTTGTTTACGGTATCAGGAGACAAATTCATTAAAAAACAAAGAAGAAAAAGGCCGAAAAAGGTGCACCACATCTATTGATGACAGAAGAATAAAAAGACTATGTCTCCAAAATAGAAAAATATCATCAGCGGCCATCAGAAGTGATCTGAATGATGCTGGTGTTTGTGTCAGTTCAAGAACAATCGGGAGAAGATTAACAGATGTTGGACTGAGAGGTAGAATTCCACGAAAAGGGCCTTATCTTAATTTTCAGCAACGAAAAAAAAAAAGACTACAGTGGGCAAAGGAACACATTAATTGGACAGGTGATCAGTGGTCACAAGTTTATATGGGTGATGAAACTAAGATATCGTTATTTTTGGTAGTGATGGGTGAAAATTGTAAGATGTAGAATAGGAGAGAGCTACTCCTGACTGCATTTCAAGCAACTGTGAAAAACCAGTTAGTGTTATGATTTGGTCATGCACGTCAGCAGATGGTATTGGTCAC